CATCTACTTGAGTATCAAAGCTTAATCCCTCTGTGTTGTTTATGTTGCTCTGAGAGATCGTCGATGCAGGAGAGCACGACTGACTTCTGTGTTGTTGAAGTGGTTGGGAGATCGCTACTTAGGTGATGCAGTCAGCCTCTCAATTTGGGTTAGAAATGACTTAGGTTATGAGTGATACGTAGTCACATTGATCAATATTATAGGTTGAGTATAACAGGTCGATATGTTTAAGTCTGTGAGAAGTAGTATATATGCATGCTTGATAAGTTATTTCTTTTTCCTTTTTATACATTTATTTCCTGTTAATACATTTTCTTTCAACCCATTTATCCCCAAACTCATTAACAAGAAATATATCGAACAACGAATCAATAACTAATCTTTGTAGACACGATACAATATAACCTATATCACCCGGTAAATTAACAACTTACTTTTTAATTGCTGCTCTACCGCAACAACATGGACTCCACAAAACCTCCTTATAAAACTACACTTTTGGAGGGTGCGTAGTGACACCAAAGTTCTTCAAAATAACAAAGTCCCAAATACCATTGTTCGAGAGGTGAGACTACATGTTAAAGCCGTGAGAGAAAGGGTGGAGGCACAACCAAAATAGCAGGGAGAGGTCATGTTTTAAAAACGAGCACTGTTTCTAGCATTCCAAATATAAGAGATGGTGTTGGTAACAACAATAAGAATTAGGGATGGAAAAATGGGTCTGGCCCGTTGGGCATGCCCATTTTTCCCGCACTCAAGTGCAGGGCGGGCCAAGGGTTTAGGCTCTCACTTTCTAATGTGTCCGCCCGCCCCGCCCCATTTTCTATGCGGGCTATTGTGCCACATGCATTTACATAAATTTTTATGTTTTTAGGCTTAAAAGATGTAGTGTCCGCGAGCTTTTCCTGCCCCGCCTTCACTTTTTTATGGGGCAGGAATAGGTTTTAGGCTCGCATTCTCAATAATGTCTGCTCTGCCCTGCCCCATTTTTTTGTAGGCTTTTGCGGGGTGAGCCTAAACCTGGTGGGCATACCTGTTTGCCACCCCTAGTAAGAATAACAACCTTGAATTGTAAATAGTGGCTACTGTCAATAAGACTCAAATAGTCCATAATCGACGACACCGAATAATTTAAGCCAAACAAATTACTCATCTAACCCCACAGGCTTTTGGCATATATGCATTTAAATAACAAATGAGATAAGAACTCTGAATTAATAAGACACATTGTTGTACCCCAAAATTTGCCCTCTCAATTTCTCAAGAATTCCCTCACAAAGATTTTCAAAAGCTCAAGTTTTCACAAGTACAATTGGACTTTTAATGCCCCATATAGTTTCCATGGATCATATTGGAATTTCAAGCATTGGGTCGAAGATGGAACTTCTTAATCCTCGAAAAGAGGAAGAGGAAACCGTCGAAAGGGCAAAGCAGATCGAAAGGTGTGCAGCTGTAGATAACAGTTTGAATTCAAAATCTGGTTCAGGCTGTTCGAACCACATGACTAATCGAAAAGGAGTGGTGGGCAGATTTTGAAAAATCGAAGAAGATCAAGCTTTGCTTCGATCCACAAGCTTCGATTAGGCAATAGTTTCCTTCGAGAAACCTGCTTCGATCCACCTCTAAACCTGATTTGATCCACATACTAAACCCTTCGACACACATAGTTTCAACACTATGAATTACAAGTCTATCTTCATGCTTGCTTCGATCCACAAGCTTCGACTGGGCAATGGCTTCCTTCGAGCAACTTGCTTAGATCCACCTCTAAACCCTTCGACACACATATTTTCTACACAATGAATTACAATTTGAGGTTTGGACATTTGAACTTTCGACCACTTAATCAAGTGATGGTTACTGGTAGGAAATCAATCCATAAATTATTTCGTTTTGACTATGCCAATGAGATCATCTTACATACTCAAAGTGGTACATTTAGATGAATATGGTCTATTCGAAGAACACATAATTGGTGGAAACAAATATTGTTTTGTCTGTTGATAAGTTTGGTCGAAGGTTGTAAATGGTCCATTCGAAGAACACACAATTGATGGAAACAATATTGTTTTCTCTATTGATGAGTTTGGTCGAAGGTTGTAAGTGGTCCATTCGAAGAACACACAATTGGTAGAAACAAATATTATTTTGTCTGTTGATGAGTTTGGTCGAAGGTTGTAAGTGGTCCATTCGAAGAACACATAATTGGTGGAAACAATATTATTTTGTCTGTTGATGAGTTTGGTCGAAGACTGTGGATCTATGTGATCAAAACAAAAGGGTGAAGTATTCAATATGCTTGTTGAACAAAGTCCTATATGCTGCCAAGCCCAAGGTTGTTGTACTGTCAACATAATAGCCTAAAACCATGTCAAAAAGCAGTCTGTTGTACTGCTATGAAACAGCCTTGCACCAAGCTGCCACAACACTCCAAAACTGCTGCAAAACAGTCCTGCTATACTACTTCTAAACCAGTCCCATATTTAAACCAAACTAGCATATAAGAGTTGGACCTCGAAAGTTATGAAAAGAGCATACCCAAACTGTTCAAATTTTATTTATTTTTCCCCCCAAAACCCCAGCAAGACTCTTCTATAAATAAGTTGTTTCACAACACACAAAGGGAAACTTTTGGGATAAGTAAAAAGGAGAAGAAGAAATAAATAGAGAGGAGAGAACACGAAGGCTGAAGCCTTGAAACACTCTTAAACCCAGAACCAAAAAACATAACACTTATGTTCTTTTCTTTCGAACCCAGAACCAAAAAATACAACACCTCTGTTCTTTTCTTTCGAACCAAGAGCATTTAAGACAGCAACTCAAGTTCGAAGCACACATTCCAGCTTCAAGGTAAGTCTTCTTGACTTTAAACTTTTCATTTCAAGCATTATTGATGATTCATCTTAGAAGATAACATGTAATAATCACCTTCGAAGCTCCCCTTTTGTTTGTTTTCCTTTCCTGTCAATTATATGTTAAGAACTAACTTGTACAGACCATAAAAACAATGTTGGAGTGAGAAATTACAACATGGTTCGACACAAAGCCTTAGGCTTCGACACACACTGCTTCACAGGCCCAAACAGAAGGAAAAAAAGGTGTGTGATTTGACACATAACATTGCTTCGATTCATACTGAGTTTGATTTGGGGCTACAGGGTCGAAAGAAGGACATGTTTGATGCATATAAGCATGCTTTGACACATGATGTCGAAAGATTTATTTTTTCTCTCTTTTGCGCTTTTTTTAAAATATTTTTTCATATTTATTTTAATTAACCAAAAGCCTTTCATAAAAAAAAATCTAAAAAATGACTTCTTGATTAATTTGATTTCCTTTTAACTTAGGATTAATTTTCCTATTTTTTTATTAATCATATCCCTTTAAATTAATTAGGTCAAAACAATTTTCCTAACAAAAAATCCAAAGTAAAATCCATTTCTTTTTATATTCCTTGTACATTATATTCATGTCATTTCTTGTACATTTATTCAATATGGTTGTAATAAATAATTAGGTTTAATTTCTTGCATCCCTATTTGTACATTTGTACCCCTATCCACTAATGATGTAATAGCTTAGGATTTTAATTTCCACAATTTACCGCTTTAATATAAATTATTAGTAATTAGGGTGTGCATGGCAATATAAAATCAACCGTTAGAAAATCCTGATTTCAAAGACAAAAATGCATACAATCAAACACATTATTCACACACGTGCACCTCTAGGATAACCTCGGAAAATAGTCATGTCCCTCGAATATAGGCATTTTAACAAAGACCCTCGATAAAAAGATCATAGTCCTTCGATGTCCCTCGATGTTGCCTCCAGTAAACGATCTAGTCCCTTACGAAAATTGGTAAAACGTCTCATAAGTTTTCTTCTATGACTATACGATGACCCACGTCTGTCACTTCACATCAAATGATAGAGCTTCTTACCAATCAATGGTAAGATAACAACATCTAAAGGAGGAGGAGAAGAATAAAAATCTTTTGAGTAGGTAGGACGCTTGTAGTTGGTTGCTAACAAACTTAAAACCATTTCCACACTTACACTTTCAAAACATCTTCAAAAACAAGCATCTCTTTGAACTATTTTCAAAACCAACACTTTGTATGAATTCTTATAGAGACGAGAATCATTACAAAGTTTGTCGCAACAAATGCGTTTTAAAAATACTTTCAAACTTAAATCACAAAGCACATTTTCAAACAAAAACATTTTCAAGTGATCTAACAAGCAACTAAAAGCTCGTAGATAACTACGGATGAAAATGATGCTAACAACTCTCCTTTTCATAACCTACCGTCGAACTCAAGAAAGTATCTCAAAGGTCTTTCTTATTCTTTTAACCATTTCTTTTATTAAATAAAAGAAAAGTCGATGACAACTCCTATTACCCGCAACAATTGCGATCAAACGCAAATCAGTTCCTAAAATCAGTTCTCCCACCATATTACACACATGTTGCATTGAGAAGGAGACTATCAGTCCCTAGAAACAAGTTTATCGTCTATGGGCAGCTTTCCAAAAATCAAACACTTGAGCAACTTAGATTCTGAAAGAGGAACCGACGGACTTCAAATAATCTTACCCCAAGAGAATGCCCGGTGGTTAGCATCGAGGCGAGAGTATGCATCTTTAAAGAATAACTTATCAATACGGAAGTTAGTATTATCCAGAGGATAATACCCTGTCTTGTATTTATAACAAAAGAAAAATAAAAATAGACATAGTATCATAAACCATGAAATTGAAATTCTCATATATTTAGTTTCACAAATCAGTGAAAGTGCAAACATATTCCAAGTTCCCACCAATGCCAACTCAGCACTACTTGTATCTTGTTTGTTTGTTCCTAAAAACCATCTGAGTAGTAATGAGTACCACTGGTACCATGCGTAGCAAACTACACTCAAATACTCTCTCTCTTGTTAAGATAAATAAATTGAGAACTCTCTGAAACCTTTCAAAACTGGACACAACCATTCACAATGGAAGAAAAACAAAAACCATTGTTTATGTTCTGCATTGTGGTATCAATCTTATCTCTAGCAACAAACGTATCATGTTTGAACCAAGATGGTCTCTACCTGTACCAATTCAAGCTCACCTTAGACGATCCCGACTCCTCTCTCTCTTCCTGGAACCCATCAGACACCACACCATGCAACTGGTACGGCGTCCGTTGCGACGCCACCAACACCACCGTAACAGAACTCGACCTCTCCGACACCAACATCCAAGGCCCATTCACAGCATCAATCCTCTGCCGTCTCCCCAACCTCTCCTCCATCAACCTCTTCAACAACTCCATTAACCAAACCTTCCCCCTCCAAATCTCCCTCTGTCAAAACCTCCTCCACCTCGACCTCTCTCAGAATCTCCTCACCGGCCCCCTCCCGGAAATCCTCTCCACTCTCACTAACCTCCGTTACCTCGACCTCACCGGAAACAACTTCTCCGGTAACATACCACTCTCCTTCGGCACATTCCAGAAACTCGAAGTACTCTCACTCGTGTCCAATCTTCTAGAAGGTACCATTCCTCCGTCTCTTGGAAACATCACTACTTTGAAAATGCTTAACCTCTCTTACAACCCGTTTTTCCCGGGTCGGATCCCTTCCGAACTCGGAAACCTAACTCACCTTGAAGTTCTATGGTTAACGCAATGCAACCTTGTTGGTGTGATTCCTGAAACTCTCGGGAAGCTGAAGAAGCTTAAGGATTTGGACCTTGCGTTGAATGATCTTTACGGTTCTATTCCGAGTTCGCTCACTGAGTTAACGAGTTTGAGACAGATTGAGTTGTATAATAACTCGTTATCCGGTGAGTTGCCGAGGGGAATGGGGAAGCTTACTAATTTGAGGCTTCTTGATGCGTCCATGAATCATTTGACGGGGAGGATTCCGGAGGAACTTTGTTCGTTGCCGTTGGAGAGTTTGAATCTCTATGAGAATCGTTTTGAGGGTGAGTTGCCGGCGAGTATAGCTGACTCGCCGAATCTCTATGAGTTAAGGTTGTTTGCAAACCGGCTTACCGGAAAGTTGCCGGAGAATCTCGGGAAACGGTCTCCTCTGAGGTGGCTTGACGTTTCGAGTAACCAGTTCTGGGGGAGTATTCCGGCGAGTTTGTGTGATCTTGGTGAGTTAGAGGAGCTTTTGATGATATATAATTTGTTCACCGGTGAGATTCCGGCGAGTTTGGGGACGTGTCAGAGCTTGTCGCGTGTACGTTTAGGTTATAACAGATTCTCCGGTGAGGTTCCGGCGGGGATCTGGGGTCTTCCTCATGTTTATCTTCTCGAACTTGCTCATAACTCGTTTTCCGGTTCCATTTCGAAGACCATTGCCGGAGCTGGGAACCTTTCTTTGTTGATTTTGTCTAAGAACAACTTCTCGGGAACTGTTCCCGATGAGGTTGGGTGGTTGGAAAATCTCGTCGAGTTTTCTGCCGCTGATAACATGTTCAGTGGCCCACTTCCAGATAGTTTGGTCAATCTTGGGCAGCTTGGCATTCTTGATTTTCACAACAACAGGCTTTCTGGGGAACTACCAAAGGGGATTCATTCTTGGAAGAAGCTCAATGATTTGAATTTGGCCAACAATGGAATTGGTGGGAAGATTCCCGATGAGATTGGTAGTTTATCAGTTCTTAATTTTCTTGATCTTTCGCGGAATCAGTTTTCAGGAAAAATCCCTCATGGGTTGCAGAATCTGAAGCTGAATCAGCTGAATTTTTCGTATAATCGACTTTTGGGAGAACTTCCTCCTCAGTTGGCTAAGGAAATGTACAAGTCTAGTTTCTTGGGGAACCCTGGTTTGTGTGGAGATTTGAAAGGTTTGTGTGATGGTAGGAATGAAGTGAAGAATTTGGGTTACGTTTGGTTGCTTCGAGCGATTTTTCTTCTAGCCGTTTTGGTTTTCCTAGTTGGTGTTGTCTGGTTCTATTTTAGGTACAAGAATTTCAAGGAAGCAAAAAGGGCTATTGATAAATCAAAATGGACTTTAATGTCATTCCATAAGCTTGGTTTTGGCGAAGACGAGATTTTGAATTGTCTTGATGAAGATAATGTCATTGGAAGTGGCTCTTCAGGAAAGGTTTACAAGGTTGTACTTAACAGCGGGGAAGCTGTTGCTGTGAAGAAGATATGGGGAGGGGCCAGAAAGGAAGTGGAGAGTGGTGATGCTGAAAAGGGTAGGGTTCAAGACAATGCTTTTGATGCCGAGGTTGAAACTTTGGGAAAAATCAGACACAAGAACATTGTCAAGTTATGGTGTTGCTGTACCACTAGGGATTGTCAGCTTTTGGTTTACGAGTATATGCAAAACGGTAGTCTTGGTGATTTGCTTCATAGTAGTAAAGGAGGGTTGTTGGAATGGCCAACAAGATACAAGATAGCTGTGGATGCGGCAGATGGACTCTCTTATCTCCATCATGATTGTGTTCCGCCAATTGTTCATAGAGATGTTAAATCTAATAATATCTTGTTGGATGGAGACTTTGGTGCAAGGGTGGCTGATTTCGGATTAGCTAAGGTTGTCGAAATCACAGGGAAAGGAATTAAATCCATGTCCATCATTGCTGGATCTTGTGGCTATATTGCACCAGGTTAGCAGAAATTTCTTGTTATCTTATTTCGTTTCATTCTTTCTGATTATATTCTATGTAATAAAGTACTTTTTAAGATTCTGATACACATTTTGTGGTAGTACTTGTTTTGCTGTGCTTGACTTGTAGTAAATGGCATTTAGTTTCATATGTTTCACATTGTTGCCTATTAAAAGTTTCCTAATGTTTAGTATTTGTGTTTCTTTGGAGACAAACTGACATTATCCTTTTCATGTGCAGAATATGCCTACACCCTTAGAGTGAACGAGAAGAGCGACATTTATAGTTTTGGTGTTGTTATACTTGAATTGGTTACTGGAAGACGGCCGGTGGATCCTGAATTCGGGGAGAAAGATTTGGTTAAATGGGTTTGCACTACATTGGATCAGAAAGGTGTGGACCATGTAATTGACTCGAGGCTAGATTCTTGTTTCAAAGAAGAAATTTGCAAGGTTTTCAACATTGGCCTAATGTGCACTAGTCCTCTTCCAATCAACCGGCCTTCAATGAGAAGAGTAGTGAAGATGTTGCAAGAGGTAGGAATAGAGAACCAAATGAAACCTGCAAAGAAAGATGGAAAATTAACCCCTTATTACTATGATGATGCTTCTGATCATGGAAGTGTTGTTTGAATTAATCATGTCCTTGCAAGGGTTGGGTTATTTGATTCTGAATGGAAGTTTTTTGAAGCTTTTACTTTAAACTACTATATAAGCCAATTTCCCTCCATGTTTTCCATGCATGCTCTTTGATTTACAAAAGGGGTAATTTTTTTTTAAATTTGAGGGAAAATTAGAGGCCTGAGGAGTTGGTCTTTTACCCTATAAAGTAGTTCTAATCAAGGCAAAACCCTGCCACAAATATAAGTTGGTTTAGCTAGTTGTATTATTAACTCTTGTATTTAGGAAATATATTTCCATACTATAAAAGAAAACAATTTCTGTCAATTTCTGTTAGGTAAATTTGTTAAAAGATTTTTACCTGCCTCTTGAGTGGGTTTGGTAGGTGACTTTAAAACTGTGACATTTGTTTGGTTTTTCATATCTTTTTAGTTAAGGGGCAGGTGTTGTTATTGGAAGGTGTTATTATTGGACCAAAGAAGAATCTAAGTGGAATCAAACTTAAATTCACATAACTAATAACTTTGCCCTTTCATAAATATCAATGGAACATGTAAATCCAAAAATAAATAAATATATATCAATGGAAATATTGAAAGAAAATAAAACTAAATAGAAGTTTAGGCTATCATCATTATTTTTTACAAGTTTGTAAACCTAGTTATATTTAATTATTTTGAGCAGCAGAATTTGTTATTTTTGGGAGCTTATTTTGTATCTATGATGCCTGTTTTCATAAGTGAATGGCCACTAAAATTTAGTGTTGGTGTTCATGTTTAGCCTGTTTTCATAAGTGAATGGCCACTAAAATTAATGTAGGTGTTCATGTTTAGACTCTAAGTGTATGTTTGGTTTTGCTTTTGGGCAAAAAATAATTTTAGATGTGTAGAAATGTTTTTGGATGATTTTGAGATGATTGGTTAGACAAAAATAGAATTGATTCTACTTAGAATTAGAATTTATAGTTTCTGTCTCTAAAATTGATTCTGGATGATTTTTTCTATGAAATTTATTATTTCAATTCAATTTTACATAAATATATTTAAATATAAATAAGTTCTATTAAGCTCAATTCTGATAAAATCAATTTTATCAAATTCAATTCTAATAAAATTAATTCTGTCAAACCATCAATCCAGAGACACTCAATCTAAAAATTCTAACACAAATTAGAATCAATTATAGGCTAACTCAAATTAAAATCAATTATAAAAATCATAGTCAATAATACTTTTGATGAACCAAATCAACAAAATCAATTCTTCAGTTCTAAAATTGTTTTTTCCTCTTACAAAATAAAACACTGATGCACTTAGTAATTTAAAATTACTATTTATAACCTGAAAGTTGAATATTGATGTTTTTCTGGAACATATGCCACATCTGTGAAAACAAATTCCCTAAATGTCACGATATGAATTTTTTTCTTCAGAATACCACACTTCAGAACACTAATATGTCATTTAGATGGCGTTTAGAATCCACGTTTTTGCAGGCTTGAGTACTTCCGCTATCCCAGATGGCGTATGTCTGCTTTATTTTTTTCGTTTTATAATTTCTAAAATAAATTTAAAATAATTTTATTATTATATTAATTCATTAATTAATTTAAATTAGTTAATAATCAATTAACATTATTTTTAAATAATAAAATTATAAAATAAAAATTTTAAACTTAAATATAAATAATAAAAAACAAATTACAAATTAAAAAAATATCGTTAAACATAATTTTAAATAATAATAATAATTATACAACCTAATAAGTTCATACATACGAATTGCATCAAAAATTAATGACGACCCAAATAATCACCGGTACCACAATTGTGATCTATTGAGACACGATAACCACAATCATATCGTTGTGTTTGTTGTGCTGGAGCTGGCGGCAGAGGATCGTCTTGTGTTTCTTGTGTTGGAGCTGACGGCTGAGCAGGAGACCAAATATGATGAATTATATCGTAATCATTGACATTAAGATCTAAGTCAACATTGATATTGGATTGTGCGTATGAGTTTGGCTGACACATGGTTGAAATATAAGCGGTGGTGGGTAGTTGGATGTTAGAGGTTGAAGGGTTATGTTCAGTATAGGGGGAATTAAAGTATGGTGGTGAGATAGATGTGAATTACATGGTTGGACGAAGGGATGTTTGTTGGTGTTGTGTCTTGTTGTTGGAAATAGTGGGGGTTAAGAGTTTGTTATTGGAAGGGTTGGGGAATATGAGCTTGGGTATGGTATGAGTAACAGGGTTGTTGTTGTTGGAAGGTTTGATTATGTTGTTGAGATCCACTTGTCATATGGGGGGCATGATGATGTTGACGGGGGTCAATGAGAAAATGTCTGATGCGTATCTAAATGGAAGTGATTGATACCATGACATGTATTCTTCAGATGGTTTAGTTTCTTCTTGCATTTGGTTTCCTACCAACGTAAAAATATCTCGATTCATCCAACACTGTTGCTCGTCGCTGTAAAGCTCACTATACGCATAGTTACACGATTTGATCAAGGTCATTTTGTGGTGTTCTTGGAGGCACTAAGGGTCGTCGGATATTTCTTGTAAATGACTAAATTGAAGTTTTACCTATCAGATTGATGCATTTCAATAATATAAAAATATATGATATATGTTGTTGCACTCCATATGAAACTATCTCCTTTCGTTATGTCTCAAATTCAAGATACAACCTCCAAATAGACTAACAAGTTATAGATGAAATTTGTTAGTGTAATCAAATAATGTATATATATATATATATATATATATATATATATATATATATATATATATATATATATATATATATATATATATATATATATATATATATATATATATATATATATATATATATATATATATATAAACTACTAAATTGTGGAATAGAACCTGCTCTGGCTGCATGTGATCAATTCTGAATCGATAACCTTGGAAATAATGGCGCAAAGAGTTTCGGTAGTTAAGTTTCTTGATACACCACCTAAAAGGAATTATAAAAATTAATATTATTTAAAAGGAATAAAAAAAATTAAATTATGAATTTAAATTAAATTTTACCTTGAAGCGTAAGGATATGATGGTAGGAGCGGAAATATCGGAGATATAATAGACATGCGTGTAAAAGTTCAAGCTTGAAGAAGTAAAACGCATCTTGACAATTCTGCAATTTTGTAATTTACAGTCTTGCACATCTCCCTATATAAGTTTGCTAAAACAGCGGATTCCTAACATGGGTAGTTTATTCTCTATTTTTTTACGATTACAAGCTCTTCAACTTTTGTACTCATATTTTTTTATACTAAAGTTTTTAATTATGCATATACGGGGTATGCGTTGAATGAGTCTACATACGCATACTACCGAGAGGAGATCCGTCAAACAAACATGAAAGCTTTCAACTGGGTAGAAAATCTTTCAAAAGAAAAATGGCCGCGAGCTTACGATAGAGGAAAACGATGGGGTCACATGACAACCAACCTTGTTGAATCGTTGAACTCGGTGCTGAAGGAAACCCGAAACTTATCTATTACAACGCTAGTAATATCAACATACTTCAGGATGAGAACATTGTTTGGGAAACGAGGATATGATTGGACAAGAATGTTGTCGCCGAGGAATGAATTCACTGATAACTGCATGAAAGGGATTACAAAAGAAGTTGATAAATCTCACAGTTATAATGTCTTGGATTTTAATCGTGAGAGGAACTATTTCATGGTCCAAGAGACGGTTAATAATGACGAGTTTCGGCCACTTGGTTATTTCAACGTTGACCTCCAAAAAAACATTTGACTGTGGAAAATTTCAAACTTTTCATGTGTCTTGCTCACATGCTATTACAGCTTGTTCCCATATCCGACACAATTATACTGTGTTAATCCCTTATGTGTATAGAGTTTTAAATGTCTTCAAAGTTTACGAACGGAGCTTCACCGGTGTTTCCAAAGAAGATAGATGGCCTCAATATCAAAGCCCAACGGTTATACATAATGAAAGGATGCGACGAAACAAAAAATATCACCCAAACAATACTCGCATTAAGACTAAAATGGACATTGTTGAGAAAATAAAAAGACGATGTGGAATCTATCAACAACCTCATATGCGTAAAAAATGTCTGCATCGGTCCGACGTAGCAGGCCCTTCAAACTAGTTACGATTTGTTTCCTATTATAAATATTATATTGTATAATTATTATTTAAAATTATGTTTAATGATTTTTTTTTTAATTAGTAATTTGTTTTTTATTATTTATATTTAAGTTTAAAATTTTTTATTTTATTTTTTTATTATTTAAAATAATTATAATTCATTTTTAACTAATTTAAATTAATTAATGAATTTACATAATAAAAAAATTATTTAAAATTAATTTCAGAAATAAAAAACAAAAAAAAACAAAATAATAGGGTTACACCATTTGGTTTGGCGTAAGTGCACTGGACTGAACAATGGACTGAACAATATGTGGACTTTTTTTTTTCAGCAGTAGCATTTGTGGAATATATTTTCACAGGTGTTGCATATGTGGAAAAAAATTCGTTTTTCTGTCCTTTTTTGTGTGTTGGCCAAAAGAGAAAATGGATAATTGACACAAGTAAGCAGAAAAAAATGGAGGAATTAATTTGCCACCACTGGTTTATAATTAGCATCCTCCATTTTGCATGTTATATTGTTATATTTTGTCTAAAATTATCAAATTTCAAAAAATATGAGTTTTTGTTAAAAATTTTAAATTATATCATAAATTTCGAAATTTATCGAAAATTTTAAAACCATATTGAAAATTTTGAAAAAAATACTGGAAATTTTAAAATTTCCATGAGTTTTTATTGAAAATTTTTCCGATAAAAAATTCATGAAAATTTTATCAGCAATTTCGAAATGTGTGCGTTTTTATCGGAAATTTAGAAATTTCCAATAAAACTCTTGGATTTTTTACCAAAAATTTCAAAAAATACATGTTTCCAAAAATTTCGTTATCGAAAATTTTGAATGAACTA